CCCAGAAAAGCGCACAAGCTCTTCATTGACTGAAAGCACGCATTTCTAGAAGTAAATCAATTCATTACCTCCATTATCTGCACAAGAGAATGATTGGCTCCGTCCTTGACTTTCAATGTCCCAAGGAAACCGGTTAAATTGTTTAGCCGGTTTCCTTCGAAAATTCGGAAGGAAAATATCCCTTAACGGGATGACAGTGAGATTCCTTATATGATAAAAATAAAATGAGAGTGATTAACATGTAAAAAACTCATAAAATACCTATAGCGGTACAAAATTTATGATTCAAGATTATTCATGCGATCACCAATTGAGTGATCATTATCGTGAGCTCAAATCAAGCAATCTTGACCTTGAGCTTCGTGACTCGAAAGGATCTATAGGATATGATCGTTGTGAGCTTCTCGACTCGAGCCCATGGCCGTTGTGAGCTCAAATTAAGGAGCCATGACTACGAGCTCGAGTGGCTATGGAGTCCAAAAACTTGAGCTTGAGCCCGTGCAATTGTAGCTACGATAGAACCCCTCTTTATCTCTTAATTTTGTTTTCATTTATGTTGTTTAATGTGGCACATATTTGGCATCATATAATATCTTTGAGCAAATTATAACACGATATGTATATCCTGACGTTCGTGTCAATAATTTTGCTATACATGTCAACAAAAATCGACCAACAAGAGAAAAAGGGGATAAGGACACTATAAGTGCCAAAACTTGTGTACGGCGCTTACTTTGGTGCCAAAAGTTTCCGCCGGATTAGTTAAGTGCCAAACTTTTTGAAAAACGATCACTTAAATACCATTTTGGCCGGAAATCCGACGTTGCATTTTTTATTAATTTCTGAAGCCGATGTGGCTCGCCGGAAGATGAGTCAGCATGTACAGTCAGCATTTATTATCATAAATAATTTTTTTTCCTTTTTTTTCTTTTTTCCTTTCTTTTCTTTATTTCCTTTTCTCCCCTCTCCGGCCGCTTCGCCGGTGGCTGGCCCGAGAAAGGCTGGGCGAGGGTCGCCCTCACTCGATCTGGGCGAGACTGCCCTCGCCGGCCATGGGCGAGGCCGACAAGGGGCGGCCTCACCAATCGCCGGCGAGGTATGGCCTTGCCAGATCCGGGCGAGGCGACCCTCGCCGGCAACGGGCGAGGCGACCCTCGCCGGCAACGGGCGAGGCCGCCCCTCGCCGGCCATGGGCGAGGCCATCCCTCGTCGGTGACAGACGAGGCTGCCCCTTGCCTGTCGCCGGCGAGGGTCGCCTCGCCCAGATCTGGTGAGGTCATCCCTCGCCGGCGACTGGCGAGGCTGCCCCTCGCTGACCTCGCCCACGGCCGGTGAGGGTCGCCTCGCCCAAATCTGGCGATGCCATCCCTCGCTGACGACTGGCGAGGCTGCCCCTCGCCGACCTTGCCCACGGCCGGCGAGGTCAGATCGGGCGAGGGCGACCCTCGCCCAGCCCTTCCCGGGCTTCACCAGTGGTCGGGCCGGCCACCGGCAAAGCAGCCGGCGAGGCGAGAAAAGGAAAAAAAGAAAAGAAAGGAACAAAAAAGAAAAGGAAAAAAAATTATTTATAATAAAAAATGCTGACTGTACATGTTGACTCATCCTCCGGCGAGCCACATTGGCTTCAGAAATTAATAAAAAATGCCACGTAGTATTTCCGGCCAAAATGGCACTTAAATGATCGCTTTTCAAAAAGTTCGGCACTTAAGTGATCCGACGGAAACTTTTGGCACTAAAGTGAGCGCCGTACACAAGTTTTGGCAATTGTAGTGTCCTTGTGCCAGAGAAAAAGTATAACAAGGTATTTTTTAAAAAGTTGAAGGAGGCTTTTTAACAATAAAAAGATAGAGGGCGGTTTTAATTTTCGGACAATAATAGAGGAATAAAATGTGACATTATTCCTTAATTAAAAGGGGAAAGGCCACCAAAAATATAAACTATACACATTGTGCCGACACCAAAAATCCTAAACTTGTATATGTATGACACATTTACCCTTCGTCAAAGTTCTGTTAATAAAAACCGTTAAAAATCTGTCTATATGAATGCCAGAAAGTAAACAGTGTTAACATAGCGCTTGCATGGCTTACGTGAAATATAAAATACGTCGTTTTTGCCAAAAGAAACAAATTTTTAAAAAATTGAGTGGGGGGATATCTCTTGGATTTTCTTTTCGACATCCCGAACGAAAATCAAGTCCATGGCTAACCATTCGACAAAAGAAATAAACTTTAAAAAGATCGAAAGTCCAATGTATCTATATTATGTGTGCAAGTATTTAGTATTCTTCATTTATGAATTCTTAAATATCATTTATTTTATTTCGGAACAATATTCCACCATCTAAAATTTGTAGTCAATTACCTCTTGGATTTCCTTTTCTTGAATAATGTCATTAAATTTGTTTCTTTAAATACCACACAAATGCCTCGTTAGTCGAGATACCTCGTAAATCGAGATGGTCTTAGCCAGTGACGAATATGAACTCATATGTGTAAATCAATAAGATATTATATGATATTTGGGATATATATAATATGCTATCCGTTTGCACATAAGTGATTGATTTTATGCAATGTTATTGTTGTTTCATTGACACATCATGATTAGAAGGATAGTAACTTTATTTTTGTATTATGTACTGCCATGAACTCATAATTATTGTTGATATCAGGTTGAGTGGTGAGTGAATCTTCTACTTTGGACTTAGAGATTTCAATTACCGGGACTCGGCTCACTCCTTATTTTTCAGATATATAGGATGGATCCCTCACCGCCGCCGTATTTTGGAGCTCCCATGTTTTTGGATTATAGTTTTGAAGATATAGTTATACCTGGATCACTAGTAGTTTATACTAAGTGTACTTTCGTTATATGGGTCGGCGTGAGGTTACCAGAATATATACTCCATCGTTACATCGCTTGGTATGTTAACATCGAGGGCGAGTTAGTTGGATCGCTTAGGCAGGCAGGCTTTTGGGCGTAGAAGTATAATATTGAAGTTCGGTGACCTTGACTCTTTTTAGGAATTATGTATTTTGCCTTTTGGCTGAATGTTGTATTGTAAAACTGGTGATAATGTATATAAAAAAATGCATATATATGATATTGAACTTGTATGGAATTTTGTGAATATTTTAATATGTTTCTGCGTGCTTTAATAATTATAAGTAAAAATTGAAAAAGATATTTATCGCGCGTGATGTTCTGGAGCGTCACATATAGCTTCGAGCTTTTTGGCCTTTCTCTCTTTTTTAGCCGCTCAGGATAAATTTTACAAGACATGAATCTATCCTGCACATGAAGCTTTAAGATTTTGAGAGCTATGACATCCTATACAGAAGCTACAGAGAAAAATGTCAATTATGGCGGTTTAGCATGAACGAATCGGTTTCTCAGACTGTAGAACTGTCCGTCTAGATTGAGCCCGTCAACGTAGACTTGTGAGACCATGATTGCACCTTTGTTCTATCCCATTAGCTAACTCGAAGCCAAGCCGTCACTTTTCGCTGCGTGCTAAGAAAACAGCATAGTAGATTCCGTTTGGAGTCTCAGAGGTATCTCCCTTTGAGCCCATCCGGGGTCGTATTCCCCGCCCTACCGGGAAGACAAAGATATGCAGGGCAAACGAGGGACCTTGGCCAGTGAAGCTAAGAAAACCGCATAGCAAATTTCGCAGAGGAAAAAACTCATGGGAAAGCGAGATTTTGAGAGAGAGAGGGAGAGAAAGGTGCTTGTCTTTTGGAGCATGATTTGATTACGTTTGTTGGCGTTTTGGAGATGATTTGATTACGTTTTTGGCGTTTTGCAGCGCTTTTTCTCGAAATCAATTCGTCTCTCGCTCCTTCCCGTGATCTTTGGATACTTTGGATACCTCGAAAACCAGAAAGTTCAGCTGCCATGTCTTTTTTTTTTTTTTTTTTGTCAGACAGCTGTGATGTCGATATCTCCCAGAAAAGAACACAAAGCTCTTGATTGATTGAAAGCACGCATTTCCAGATGTGACTCAATTCATTACCTCCATTATATGCACAGGAGAAATGATTGGCCATTAGCACCGCCCCTTAACTTTCAATTTCCCAAGGAAACCGGTTAAATTGTTTAGCCGGTTTCCTTCGAAAATTCGGAAGGAAAATTTTCCTTAATGGGATGACAGTGAGAGTCCTTATATGATAAAAATAAAAGAGATAAATATACTATAAGTCCTAAAACTTATTTTAAAAGTGCATTTACGTCTTAAATTTGTAAAAAGTACAATCGAGCCCTAAAACTTGTCAAATTGATATAATCGAGTCATAAACTTAACACTGTTAAATTTACTAACGGAAAATTTCCCTTAATGGGATGACTGTGAAAGTCCTTATGTGATAAAAATAAAATAAGGAAAGTGATTAAGGCGAAGAAAACCCATAAAGTACATACAGTGATACAAATTTCATGATTCGAAATTATTCACACAATCACTAATTGAGTGACTATTATCAAGAGTTCAAGTTGAGCAACCTTGGCCTTGAGCTTCATGACTTGAAAATATCTATAGGATATGATCGCTGTGAGCTTCTTAACTCGAGCCCATGGCTGTTGCGAGCTCAAATTAAGCGGCCATGTCTACGAGCTCGAGTGGCTATGGAATCCACAAACTTGAGTTTGAACTTGGGCAATGGTAGCTGCGATGAAACCCCTTTTTATCTTTTAATTTTGTTTTCATTTATGTTGTTTAATGTGGTGCCTATTTCACATCATATAATATTTTTGAGCAAATTATAACACAATATGTATATCCTGACGTTCGTGTCAACAATTTTGCTATACATGTCAACAAAAATCGAGCAACAAGAGAAAAAGTAAAACTTTGAAAAAAATCGAAAGTCCAATGTACCTATATTATGTGAACATTGAGTATTTAATATTCTTCGTTTATGAATTTTTAAATATCATTTATTTTATTTCGGAACAATATTCCAATGTCTAGGATGGATTGTGCCGTCAGACAAGCACAATCCACATTCACACCAATTTGTGTACGGGAGTGGGTCTATATAGCGGCTTCCTTCCCTAGTGGAAAAACTGCCCTTCACCAGTCGGACGAGATGGTGCAGATCAAGATCCTCCACGGTTACGATATCTCGCCGCCGGCGAACTCAGTCCCGGCGACCTCTCTCCCCCTCACCTTCTTGGATATCCCGTGGCTTCTCTGCTGCCCCATGCAACGCCTCTTCTTCTACGACTTCCCTCAGTCCGCTCCCTCCTTCGCTCAGACCACCCTCCCGCTCCTCATCCGCTCTCTCTCCCTCTGTCTCCGCCGCTTCTTCCCCTTTGCCGCCAACCTCGTCCTCCCCATAGCGCCGCCCCAGAAGCCCTACATCCTCTACTCCGACGGCGACTCCCTCTACTTGACCATCGCCGAGTCCGCCGCCGACTTCTCCGAGCTCATCAGCGACGAGGCACACGACGCGACGCTGATACACCCTCTGGTGCCTCAGCTCCCGCCGCTGTGCGAATCCGACGGAGCACGTGTGGGGCCTGTTATGGCGATTCAGGTCAGTCGGTGATGGTCTGGATCTCATGTGATCGTGTTCGTATTTACTTGTTTTTAGTTCTCATTAGTTGGTATTAGTATCAATATCATGTGAGCGGATCAAGGTTTTCTTTTTGGAAGGTCTGTTTGGAATATTTATGAATTCAGTATCATAATTCTATGCTATAGCTTGAGCTTATCCAGCAACAACATATGTTTTCTTATTGCAACACAAAGTTAATGCAACTGGGTATCAGAAAACAAAGATACAATGCAAGCGTGAAAATTATATCATGCAGACATAAATAGAAGGTAGATATAAGATTTAAGAGTAATTTGAGTTTATATAACATGTACAAAGATAAAAAGAAAATGAAAGAGGAGTAATTATATGAGGGGAGTTTAAGGTTTAAAGTAGGATCTCATCTTTTAGATTTAATACATATCACGAGAAGTATAGCTTAAGCATCATGTTGATGTGTGCAAACTAATATTAAAACGTAGTGTCAAATTTGAGATTTTCGATTGAAATGATACTTAGAGATGACTCTGCAATATTGTTTCGAGTTTGAAGCAATCAAATGAGGTACTTCGTTTGGCTAAAAAAGAAATGAAAATGTAAAATGATAAGTCAAGAACGAGTTATATGTTTACGAGGATTAGCGTACGTCTTCATAGCATTCGTAATTTTTAATAAATTATCTTTCTTGATTATGAGCAATCAATGTGCATGGGTGATAACAAACATCTAACTCAAATTACCAGTTTAAACTCGAAACTTATCGTGGATTTTGCTGAAAAATGATTTAGGTGACTCTGTTCCCAGACAAGGGCATTTGCATTGGGGTCCAATTCCTCCACGTGGTGGCAGATGGGAAGTCCTTCACTCACTTCATGAAATCGTGGGCGTCTATCCACCGGTCCGGAGGGGACCCCACTTGCGTTGACCCGGACGACTTGAGTCCTTTCCACGACCGAGGAGTGATCAAAGACCCGAATGGGCTCGAACCCATATTGTTGAAAGACTGGTGGAGTTTAGTGGGCCCGAGCCCGAGCCCAAGCCCAAACCCAAGCGAAGCTCTTCTCGCTGTTGCGGACAAGGTGAGAGCAACGTTTGTCCTTCGAAAAGCTCACATCGACGGACTAAAAGCACAGATCTTGAGCCAACTCAAGAACGACGAACTCGACTCGGAGTCGGATTCAATCCACTTGTCGACGTTCGTGGCGACGTGTGCATTCATATGGGTGTGCATCACCAAATCAAAAGGCGAAGAACACGAGCGTCAGGACCAACCGTCATCAAAGACCGATGACGACAAACTTTGTTACTTCGTCTTTGTCGCAGATTGTAGGGACCGGCTCGAATACTCGATACCCTCGACATACTTTGGGAACTGTCTGGACATATGTTTTCTCTCGGAGAAGAGAAATACGCTCCTGGGCAAAAGTGGAGTTCTGCATGCCGCAAGGGCTATAGGGAGGAGAGTCAAGGAAATAGGGACAAGGGGAGCATTGAGAGGGGCGAAGGAATGGATAAAGGACTTTAAAACAGCTGACGATGGGGACTTAGTGGCAGTGGCCGGGTCGCCGAGACAAAAGGTGTACGACACGGACTTCGGGTGGGGAAGGCTGAGGAAGAGCCGCATGGTGCACATCGATGTATCGAGGGCGATCTCTCTCGTGGAGAGTAGGGATGCAGATGGTGGTATGGAGATCGGGTTGGCATTGACTAGGGTTGGTATGAAGAAGTTCATTTCTTTATTTGAAAAGGGATTGAAATCATTTAGACCACTTTAAAATACATCGGTCCATCTAATGCCATGTCAATTTCAATTTGGTCCTTATATATGGCTTGTTACAACATTGGTCTTTCTACCTTAGTTTATTGACAAATGTACGGACTTACTATCAATTTTTTAGCGCAAAATTTGTGAGAATCTCTAGAATTCATCATCAGGCCAAACGATATAAAGGAAAATGATACAAATGGTAATTTTGGTCCAATGTGCGACATCGTATCTGAACTTTAAGCGCGTTCAATGTGATCTCTGAACTTTTAATTTGTTAATTGTGGTCTCTGAGCTTTTAAATATTTTCATATATTCTAGGGATCATATTGAACATTTACCAATAGTTCAGGGATTACAATATACAAATTAAATATTCAGCGATGACATTGCATATTGGATTAAAGTTCAGAGGCCATTTGTGCTATTATCCATAAAGTAAATATTTGATCGAGACTTGCACAACCTTTGCTGACTTAGAGTGAAATATGAGTAAGGATGTTGGCCCCAGTTCCTCAAATTAGAAGTATGCATCGAATATTAATTCCTCAAAACAAGACAAAAGAAAGATAAGCATAAACTCCTACGAAGAACTTATAGAATTATAAATCACACAAAAATCTTTCCAACTTGCTATAATCGTTTTATAACGGGAAAATGATGCCAAAAGTACCACAACGTTCATGCAACATTCACTTCGGTACTAAAATTTTTCGATTGATCATTTGTGTGCAATATCGATGGACAAAACATCATTTAAGTGTTTCTGGTGACAAATTCCTACTATTCATCCTATGTAATTTTTTTTAATGAAATCTTTGTTCAAAAAAGAATTTAAACCATTCAAAATGGTCTCAATGGGTAGTGAAACTTCCAAATTATCCATAATATGCACTGAACCGGCGAATACAGTAGAATGGATAAAGAATACGAAGAGACCAGCACCTTGGAGGATAGATATGGTGAAAATAAGGTTAAAAAAAAAAGGGAAACTCAGCACGACGAAAAACGTTGGAAAAGTCTGTAGTCTTCAAGAACTAGTAAAAAATCAATCAAATTGGACGGAAACACAAGAGATGGTTTGGTCTGATGTCCTGAATCAAGTTCTGTTTGCTCGATTGAACCGGTCGGTCTGCAGAGGAAGAACCAGCTAACTGTGCAAGTTAACTGACTCGGCTGACGTGGCGAGGACATGTCATATTGACGTGACCATCGACGTGGCACAAGACACGCTGTTGACGTGGCGGGAGTAACGCCAGCATGCGTACAAGAGTTGTTGCCGTGTGGATCCCAAGGGCAATAGCGCATGGTGGCGGGTGTGGGCATGTGCAACGGCGGATTGCAACAAAATTTCATGATCCGGCTCTTCTAAGAGCGGCAAATCCGATGTTTGCGTCGGTTTTTTTTAAATAAGCAGCAAAAGGTGTTGGAACAGCACTCAAATCCGATGTTGGATTGGAAGGAGGCTATCAGGCCTTTTTGCCGTTCCCCCATTTTTTCACCGCTCAGGATATGTTTTACAAGCCATGAATCCACACTGCACAAGAAAGCTTTAAGATTTTTGTAAGTTTCGACAATATGTAGAGAAGGTACGGAGAAAAATATCAATTATGGTGGTTTAGCATGAAAGAATCCGTTTCTTAGATTATAGAACTTTCTGTCTAGATTGAGCCCGTCAACGTAGACTTGTGACACCATGGTTGCACCTTTTCTTCATCTACTTTGGGCCCTATCTTATCCAAGTCTCGCCTCACTATTGCTTCCCATTAGCTAACTCAAAGCTAAGCCGTCACTTTTCCCTGCGTGCTAAGAAAACAGCATAGCAAGCTCGCAGAGGAAAAAACTCACGGGAAAGAGAGATTTTGAGACAGAGGCTTTTGTTTTGGAGCATGATTTGATTACATTTGTTTGGCGTTTTGTATCAGCAAACCGATTTACCTTTTAGCTTCGCAATCTGGCGGTGTCGTGCTTTTTCTCGAGACCAATTCGTCTCACCCTCCTTCCCGTCATCTTTAAATATTTTGGATTGACTTGAAAACCAGAAAGTCCAGCTCTGATGTCGAGACCTCCCAGAAAAGGACACGAGCTCTTGATTGATTGAAACCACTGCGTATTTCAGATCTAACTCAGTATACTACCTCCATTGAATGCGCACAAACCTATGTGCGGGAGTGGATCTACATCATCGCTTTTAAACTGGGACAAAAACTCCCCTTCACTGTCGGACGAGATGGTGAATATCAAGATCCTCCACCGCTACGATATCTCACCGCCGGCGAACTCGGTCCAGGCAACATGCTCTCCCTCTCACCTTCCTCGACATCCCGTGGCTTCTCTGCTGCCCTATGCAACGCCTCTTCTTCTACTACTTCCCCCAGTCCCCTCCCTCTTTCGCTCAGACCACCCTCCCGCTCCTTGTCCACTCTCTCTCCCTCTGTCTCCGCCGCTTCTTCCCCTTCGCCGCCAACCTCGTCCTCCCCCTGGCGCCACCCCAGAAGCCCTACATCCTCTACTCCGATGGCGACTCCCTCTCCTTCACCGTCGCCGAGTCCCCCACCGACTTCGCCAAGCTTGTCAACGGCGAGGCTTGCGACACCACGCTGATACACCCTCTGGTGCCTCAACTCCCGCCGCCGCGTGCATCCGATGGAGCACGTGCGGGGCCCCTTATGGCAATTCAGGTCAGTTGTCGATAATCTGACTCTCACGTAATCGTGTTCGTATTTACTTGTTCTTAATTTTTATTATTTGGTATTAGTATTAATATCATTTGAGCTCATCAAATATTTTTTTTATTTGAAGTTGTGTGTGGACTATTTGTTAATTCAGTATAATAATGCTATGATATAACTTGAGCTCATTAGGCAACAACATATGTTTCCTTATTGCAACACAAAGTTAATGCAATTGGGAGTTAGAAAACAAAATACAATACAAGCGAGAAAGTTATATCATACAGACATAAATATAAGGGAAAAAACCACAAAAAACCCCAAACTTTGTCATCTGTGACACATTTACCCCGAATTTTTTTTTGTGACACCAAAAATCCCGAACTTTGCTTTTTGTGACACATTTACCCCAATGTATTTAGTTCATGGGCATTTTCGTCTATTTTGCTTTTTCTTTTTTTTCCTTTCCAGCGAGGGGGGGCCTCGCCGGATCCGGCGAGGGCTGCCCATCGCCGGATCGGCGAGGGGGCCCTCGCCGGCGTCGAGCGAGGCGGCCCTCGCCGAGATCCGGCGAGGCGGCCCTCGCCGGCGTCGGCGAGGTTCGCCCTCGCACGGGCGAGCGAGGCGGCCCTCGCCCGACTCAGCGAGGTCGACCCTCGCCGGCGTCGGGCGAGGTCAACCTCGCTGAGTCGGGCGAGGGCCGCCCTCGCTCGCCCGGCGAGGCGACCCTCGGCGGCGTCGGGCAAGGTCCGCCCTCGCCCGGGTGAGCGAGGTGGCCCTCGCCCGATCCGGCGAGGTCGATCCTCGCCGGCGTCGGGCGAGGGTCGCCCTCGCACTGGGCGAGCGAGGCGGCCCTCGTCCGACGCAGCCGGCGGCGGCCCTCGCCAAATCGGGCGAGGGCGACCCTCGCCGGCGTCGAGCGAGGTCGCCCTCGCCCGATCTCGGCGAGGGCCGCCCTCGCTCGGACGCCGGAGAGGGTCGACCTCGCCGAGATCGGGCGAGGGCCGCCTCGCTCGCCCGAGCGAGGGCGGACCTCGCCCGACGCCGGCGAGGGTCGCCTCGCCCGGGCGAGCGAGGGCAGCCCTCGCCCGACTCAGCGAGTCGACCGCCACTGAGGGCCCTCCGCCGGAAAGGAAAAAAAGAAAAAAAAAGAAAAAGCAAAAAAGACGAAAATGCCCATGAACTAAATACATTGGGGTAAATGTGTCACAAAAAGCAAAGTTCGGGGTTTTTGGTGTCACAAAAAAAAGTTCGGGGTAAATGTGTCACAGATGGCAAAGTTTGGGGTTTTTTGTGGTTTTTTCCCTAAATATAAGGCAGATATTGGATTTAAGAGTAATTTGAGTCTATATAACATGTACAAAGATAAAAAAGAAAATGAAAGAGGAGTAATTATATGAAGAGAGTCCAAGGTTTAAAGCAGGATCTCATTGTTTACATTTTATAGATATCACGAGAAGTATTGATTAAGCATCATGTTGATGTGCGCAGACTAACATTAAAACGCAGCATCATATTTGCGATTTTCGATTGAAATGATACTTAGAGATGAATCTGCAATATTGTCTTAAGTTTGAAGCAATCAAATGAGGTACTTTGTTTGGCTAAAAAAGAAATGAAACTGTGACATTAGAACTTGAGAACGAGTGATGTGTTTACGAGAAATGCTGTAGATTATGATAAAGATTTCATTAATAAATGTCTCTAGGAACTCATGATTTCAAATACATTATCTTCCTCGATTATGTGTAACCGATATGCGAGGGTGATAAACAAACATCTAACTCAAAATACTAGTTGTATAAATAAAAATTAAACTAGAAACTTATCGACGATTTTGTTGGATAATGATTTAGGTGACTCTGTTCCCAAACAAGGGCATTTGCATTGGTGGGCAATTCCTCCACGCGGTGGCAGATGGGAGGTTCTTCAATCACTTCATGCAATCGTGGTCGTCCATTCACAGGTCCGAAGGGTACCCCACTTGCGTTGACCCGGACGACTTGAGTCCTTTCCACGACCGAGGAGTGATCAAAGACCCGAATGGGCACGAGTCCATATTGTTGAAAGACTGGTGGAGCTATGTGAGCCCGAGCCCGAGCCCGAGCCCAAGCCCAAGCCCAAGCCCAAGCCCAAGCCCGAGCAGAGCTCTTCTTGCCGTTGCGGACATGGTGAGAGCAACGTTTGTCCTTCGAAAAGCTCACATCGACGGGCTAAAAGCGCAGATCTTGAGTCAACTCAAGAATGACAACCTCGACTCGGAGTCGGATTCAATCCACTTGTCGGCGTTCGTGGCGACGTGTGCATTCGTGTGGGTGTGCATCACCAAATCGAAAGGCGAAGAAAATGAGCGTCAGAACCAACCGTCATCAAAGACCAATGACGACAAACTTTGTTACTTC